GAAATAATTCTTTACTTAATTTTAATATATTTAGCAGTTGCCCGAAATACATTTAATAACTCCCAGGAGATCGGAGGATCTCACTATCGCCAGTAATTGTTTTTTTTTTCTTTAACCGTGATCTAACCATCACCGTAGTTTTAACATCCCTTTGGTTGATTTTTATGTTACAATACTTTAAAGAGAGGTTTCCTTTTCAGGCCTTTAACTACAGTACGGTTTTTGGAAATCGCGACCATATTGCGGGGTGTGGAATTTTCCAGTTTAACATCGCCACTTAAAGCAATACTTCCCACGGTTAGGTGCACTAGTGGTTAGGATTCGGCGCTTTCACCGCTGCGGCCCGGGTTCGACTCCCGGCGTAGGAATGGTTTTCTAACCTTCTCTCCCCGTTCTCTTTCGACTTTTAGTAACCTTATTTCTATAACCAGATTGGTCTCAGTAAATCGACGCCAAATAGAGACAGTGTCTGGTATTCTGGTACTCATCTTTTCGTACGATTATAAGTTTACATTAAAATGCAAATTAAACTCATTTTCATACGATTAAAACACGACATGTGTTCGAAAATAAAAATTCTATCTATAGGCCATATTTATTCATGAGTCAAGATAGAGAACTATTCCGTTTCTATTTGCTCGAACTTATCCATCATGAATTCATCAGGCGCGGTAACATGCTTTTTTTTTTGAGGTACATCACACACAAGCTAGTCATGAGGCTACAGCGAGTGTCGTATGTGTCGTCGAGTGTCTTCATAAACTACTTCCAAGCAAATACCAACCTGGCTACTATCTGAGAGAACGAAGAACATTTATTCGTCCGAGGTGTAAAACTGAAAGATGCAAGAATAGCTTTCTCTTAAGTTACGTTTATCGTAGGTGATAATTAGATATTAACTTGTCTCTTATTTTACATAGGAATTCGACGCATGCTTGTAATTTTGTCATTCTGTAACAGTTTTTAATTAGGAAATTAATTAATTAGTTGTAATTTAGTAAGCTGGAAATTTCGCGTTTGTAAATTAAACCTTATCGCAATTCAGCTTTTGGCTGCAAGTTCTTAAGGTGAATAAACTATCTATCTATCTATCTATCTATGTGTGTGCGTAGTTAGCTCTCTCTTTGCTCTGACTGCATTACTTAGAAATTTCATCGTCATGCTTGTAATCTGGAAAATGCGGGAGCTTCATACGCCATCTTTCACTTTGTTATTTTGCTTGGCAGTCTCTGACTTCCTCGTTGGACTAGTTGGCCAGCCCTCGTTTGTTACATACAAGGTAACGGAGCTTTTGGAAGATTTCAACGGATATTGTAAGGTACAAATGATTTAGTTCTTTACTGGTTGGATAACTTCGGGAGTGTCTTTTTTGACTCTAAGTGGAGTTTGTGTCGACCGACTTCTCGCTTTAACTCTTCATTTGCAATACAGAAACACGATCACCATGCGACGGGCTGCAATAGCAATGATAACAGTTTGGCTGTTTTGCTTCATTGTTGCCATCGCCAGGTTTTGGTTTCGAAATTGGCTCATTTTGCCTGTTACTATATCTGTGTTGGCCACTGGAGTGACTGCACTTTGCACTATTAGGATATTTCAAATTGCAAATAGACATCAAAGCCAAATAAGAGAACAAAGTCGATCAATGGTTAACTTACAAAACGAACGAGGTGATGGCTTAATGTTAGTGCTCTATCTCCCACTCATTACAGGCTAGTGCAGCGGAAGCATTTCACGGCTATACAACTTCATTGAAGATCGGTTGGTATTACGCAACGATTGGTTTCATAAGTTCGTCGGTGAATCCTGTCAGTCATTTTTGGAGAACTAAACAAGTACGTCGCGCAATAATAGAATATATAAGAAAACTACTCATGGGAACAATTCAGCAGCAGCTGCAGAATCTGTTCAATAACCTTAGTGGACAGTATGGTTTCTGACTCACCAACATCTTTGTTCTGACGCATTTTGTAATAAACTTGGTATGAATTGTTGAAAGCGATAAAACCCACGAAAATCTATTTTCTTCACGATGACAATAATTATAGTGGCAATACGGACATGTTTCGCCATCAGAAGGTGTTCGACGCCTGTGATCTGTTTATATTTACACAATTTAGTGTCTTGAACCTTTAATGCGGTTGTTAATGTGGGTAGAGCACGGTCTAAATACAGGGTACACTATAGTTTCAAGTGCTGCGACTTTCAAGTCATCGGAGAGATTGCCAATTGCCAGTAGGCAGAATTAATTCCCCACTTGACTCTCATGAAAAAGAAAAAACAAGATGAGGCGCAAAAGTTACATTTTGCACTTTGATGTTTCAGTGCCAGGATATGATACTGACTCAACATGTGCTGTTAGGTCTGTAAGAGAGAAAACAGAAAACAAATTGGTTTTTCAAGAGGAAATAAAGGGCACTCTCACGCTGGGAATCGAACCGGCTAGCGCCGCGCCGGTGAGAATGAATTTAACTACGAGAGAGAACAAAAACATCCTAAATTGGATGTAGTCAAAATAAATAGCTGCCACTCTCAAATCGCCTGTTGAGGGTTATCGTTAAACTGCCCACTTTCTAACAGTTGGCGTGTACTTAAAGGCAAGATCTTGCTTTTAGCTGAGACTATATGGCCTACTACAAAACTTTTTTTCGCAGTTTGATTATTGCATTATGTGCATTTATAACCGATGTAAAATGCAAAATATCAGGAAATTACTTCTACAATTATCTCGCCACCTTCATGAGACAATTACCATTGTATACATCCATATTCTAGAAGTTTCAGGTTGACACTTACCCAACCGAGCTCATGTTATCAACTAAGATCAAAAATTTAAACGATATTTGAGTTAACTTGAAAACATTCGTTTAACTCATTCAACTTCCCTATGTTTATTGACAACCTAAGGTAAAATTTTTTAGTCGGCCTAGACTGCTCTAAGAAGGATTACCTTGCTTATATTGTCATCAGCGTTGCTCAACCTTCGTCGACGAAATGAATTTTAGAATTTTAGATAGAGCACTAACATTAATTTTAGCCTCTATCAGTAACTAAATTCTGCCAGAATATAGAAGCGGCTATTTAGACTCGACGTATTCAGTGAGTAAATTTAGCCGCTCTAATCAAGTGTTTACACACAAACTGCTTGCCCTCACAGGATGTTTACTTTCGTTGTGAGTTTCAGTTATTCCGCAATGTATTCATGACAACTCGACGAATCTCTCTAAATCTCCAGCAGTTTACAAATGAATTCAGGAAGGATTTGACTAAACAAACAGTGTGTGCGAAGTCTTATGCAACTGTAATATCTATCGTGTATCCATGTAATTGATGCGCAATCACTGTCACAAGCGTTGGAATATAAAAAACCAGAAATAAACCTTGCGATGAAAGTATCGTTAGAGCATATTTTCTTTGCTTAAGCACGTTTATTGTGTTGATTTAGACACTTCTTTGTTGCTCATGTATATGATGCTGGTGTCGTCGAACAATTTCAACAATCTTTAATGCGCTTCCGTGAGAGTATTACAATAGATGTTGTTTCGAGAATCGTCTATAATACGAAATGCCACCTTCTTACCCAAAACCTTGGTATGACAGTGATTATGGCTAAAACCCAAAGAAGGAAATATTGTAAGTAATACTCTATGAATTGTTACAATCATGTTGTATCGCATATGAAGAGTCAAAGTCAAGAGTCGATCGATACAAATTACACCTAGGGTGAGGAAAGACGCAGGCAACGGCAGTAGTCCAAGCACAGGGGGAGTAAATTAATTATATTTACAGTGTACTTGACTGCTCACTGTTATCAGCTCTGTCGCATGATTTGCTATGAAAAATGGTTGGCAAATCACTCCCATAAGGAAATCCGAAAGGCTGAGGCAAAATAAAAGGATGAAAGACGGCGAAGTCTTAAACTAGAGTTGTACATGTTGAAGACTAACGACCGAGTGTCTTGTGCCTTAAGCTGAGAGTCGATCAGTGAATCGTTTACATCTTCATCGAGAATTGCACCTGGCCTGGTTTTCACATATTTAAATCGTTGTGAATAGCTATTGATAAATGATATCATTTTATAAGGACTTAACTTCAGAAGTCGGATTTCAAGTGCTCTTTGTTAATACAAACTTATATGTGATTATATGGTCCTAACGGTATATGTGATTATATGCCATGGCCCAAATGCGGCACTATTTCGGGATTAAATAGAATTTAAAAAGTATTTTAAATACAGAGCATGCATGTCGGAAACCTCTTGCAGTTGCACTTTATATTTACGACTTATTTTTCTTTTCTCTCTCCCTTTTTTTGCAACTATGATCGCTAACTCGCTGCTACCGCAGTTTTCATTTTTATTTCGTGTCAGCGCCGCATCACACCAAAGCTTAAACATGTTTTAAGACTGTTTCAGTTAAACACTGTTGAAATTTTTTTCTTCATAAGAGCTGCTTAAACATTGTTTATAAACGTCAAATGTAGTCTATTGAAAATAATAGTCGTCAAGGAGCATTACCAATGAGAAGTTGGGCGTTAAAGGGTTAATGACGGTTTATCTAAACATGTGTTGCTGGTGTTAATTGAGTATCATATACTTGGATAAAGATTGCCTCTGATCCACGTCATGGCTGAATTTTGTAAAGTCTTAATTTCTTAATCGGAATACAATGTCTTTTAATATATATTTGGTACAAACCATCAGCTGTTGCTGAAGATTTAAATTGCAAAAGAGCACTACTTTATGAATAAGGTACATTAATATTTCCATGAAGAACTGTTTACATATTTGCCGAAATTAAAGATTTGAGACTTCCTTTCAGTTTACTAACTTCAGTTTCTACAGCTCAGGAAACAGTCAAAATCTGATTGGTTTTTTTTTTTAGCAAACAAGTTAAACCTATTTTAGCTGTCGATCAGTTTCTTTTTAAACTTTGACAGTGTGCGAATATTTAAAAAGCGTGTTAAATCAATTTTCTGAGAACTGTTGAAAGTCTCATACCATGAACGAAACACTAACTTGCTCCTTTTTGGACATCGATTTAGATCAGACGATAGAAACGCAAACGGCCAACTTCGCTACATGTGTCCTAAATTCTATCTTTTCCTTGATTACAATCACGGGAAATTTCATCATTCTAAATGCAATTTGGAAAAACCGAGAACTGCATTCGCCATCGTTCGTCCTTTTGTTTTTTCTCGCTTTATCGGATCTTCTTGTTGGACTCATTTGCCAGCCATCTTTCGTCGCGTTTAAGATCGCTGAACTTAGAAGAGACTTCAGCTGCTACTGCATCTCGAGAATGATTCAGAGTATATCTGGATGGACAACCTCTGGTGTGTCTCTGCTAACTCTAAGTGCAGTTTCATTGGATCGATTATTGTCTTTGACTCTTCATTTACGATACAACACAATCGTAACAGTTCCTCGTGCGTTTGTTGCTTGCGTCTTTCTCTGGTTCTTTGCCGTCACAGTTATGATGTTGAGGTTCACTATGACCAACTGGATAATTCTCCCTTTGATCATATTACTGACAACATTTCTCGTCACAGCGCTGAGTACCTTAAAAATATTCATGATTGTGCGCAAACATCTTTGCCAGATCAAGCAACTTCAACGAAATCTAAACACTTCTCAAACGGAAACAGCCCAAGTACTTAAGTGTCGAAAATCTGCAGTGACTGTGCTTTACGTTTACGGTCTGTTTTGGATTTTTTATGTTCCTTTTTGTGTAACAATGCTTATGGATTCAGCCGAGGGATACACGCTGACATTAAAAATCGCATATGACTATGTGGGGACCATAGTTTTTCTCAATTCGTTTTTTAATCCAATTGTGTACTGTTGGCGCATCAGGGAGATACGAAATGCCGTAAAGAACTTACTTCGAAAACGCGTCCTCTTAGAAAATAACACTCGAGGCAAGTGACTTTGGTGACTTTTTGGTCCCTCAGCTTTGTTACATCAAACTAATGCATTATTAGTACGAAACGCGACGCGGACATGTGAATTTTGTTTAAATTTTAAACATTTCTGAAACATCTCCATGTTTTATTGACAGCTAGACGATACTTTCACACATCCGGTAATTAACTTGACTGGTCTTGTCGCCATAACACAATTTAAGGCTCGTGTCGTCAAAAGTTCTAATGACCAATATTGATCTATATGTAAATGTCGTTGTTGCACGCAAATACCATTTGTAACTTTACATGATACAGATGGTATTTATGATGGGGAAACATTGACCTTTTCATTTTTTTAAAAATAATTGTTTGATTTGAGATAGGTTTCTGCGCTCTAAATGTTTATCTCATTGATTTGTTCTGCCATACGGTTTTGACTTTTTCGATACCTGAAATAGACCGTTTTCTCTTTTCCTTGCCCAGTTCATGAGACTCAACATCTCACCCCTATTTGGATAATTTTCTCGGAGTTGTCTCTTTTAAGAGATATTTATTAATTACAACCAGTTTTTCGTTTTTAATAATCATTTTGGCCGCTTTTCGGTTCAGTTTCTGATGGCTTACTTTGTTTGTTCCTTCCTCATTTCTTAGAAATTAAGGATTGATCACGATGTCCATTTTTCAACCTTGTGCCCTTCACCAACAGAAACACAAATTTAAGTCAGTCCGCAAGCAACCATTACCCTTTTTTTAAGTAAATTATTCTTCCAAAGAATTACGTAATCATTTCAATTCTCAGTTGGTTTTTTTAAAGTATATTTTCCATGCTAAAGGGAAATATTATTGTTAGAGTTTTAATTTGTTTGCTGTAAAATCCTTTTAACTTGAAAGTGAATGATATCGTCATTAAAATTTTCTTCTGTCTTGAAAGTGAAAGATACCATCATTATTGGTTTTCACGACAAGAGGCAGACTCGAGCGAAAGAAGCCGCTCAAACTGCTTTTTTTTTACAGACAGTAGTAATATCAGACAGTTTCCAACATGACATATATGCAAATGTAGGTGACAGTGAAATCATTAGGTCACGGGGCATTATCAGCAAGAGAACATTGTGAAAGCAGGTGTCTATTTTTGTGGTAGCATCTCAAAGAAACGAAGCTAAAAACGTTAACACGTTGTTGCAAGTTTATGAAACACTGAAAGCACTATCTCAACCACGAATACATGGGGAGCTCTTTCATTGATAACTGTAATTGAAATCCGATCCCCAAGAATGTTATGCGATTCTTTTTGCAAATGATTTCTGAGAAAAACATTCTCGGTAGAAATATTAATTTTTATGATTCTACTTTAACAACGTAATCAACTTCCCAACTCGTTGGAGCTTGTTTTTGGAAACAGATAAATTATTATAGGTTTATCACTCGCTGTGTTTCTTAAAAGTTATGATTATTGAGACTACCACATTGAAACAATTGTGTTGAGAGGCCGTCTCGAAATTGTTAGTAAACGATGTCCCATACGTCAGCAGTGCATTCATCCAAATGTGAAGCACTTGGGAAGTTTCCGGAGCTTTCAAAAAACTAGAGTTGCTCTCTGCAAAGCCTTTGGAAACTCTGGGGCAACTTTCGTGCTCTCCAAACTTCCCACAAGGTATATTTGAAACCTGGAGATTCTTTTTCATCGTTTGATAACGCTTTGATAAAACGTACCTGCCGATCCAATTTGAACTGTCTGTATATTTTTGTAAATGCACAAATATTTAACCTTCTACTGGCCCCAATGCTTTTCCCTACTTACAAGGTTTTATTTCTTTTTTGTAAGAGAAACTATAATAGCAATGTAAATTTAGTTACGTACGTGGATGATAAATGTAAAGGAAAACATACATTGAAAAGAGAAATGAAACAACTTCACAGTTTTGTGTCTTAAATTCTCAAATTCACTCTTGTAACCCGTGTCTATAAGTATTTCACGAAACTAAAAGGGTTTTACCATCAAGAAAGGTTTGATTCTAAAATAATAACTGCACCCAACGGCGAAAAAGGTTTATTTTTCTTTTCCACTTACTCTTTTTCAAAGAAACTCAAAGCGACAAGCGGGCTTGAATTTATTCAGCTTCACCCTATTTCTGTAGTTTGTTTGCTCAGTTGTTAGGCATATAGAGTAAATAGATAACTTGTCCAAGTTTTGTTGAAATATCCTCAGACACCTGCCTAAATGCTCGATAAAAATAACATCGGTTAAATGAAAGTTTCATTTTTTTCATGCCTGTAAATGTTTAATAACGACAGAATAGGTTATCAGAGCCTTTGAGCTCTTCAGTGGAGTATATTGCAAATCAACAACCGAATACATAATCTAATTGAAAGGAAACTCGACAGGCAACATATATTTTGAATGTTAATATGGGGTGATACAGATGTTTTTTCGGTGTCAGATGAAAGGTATTTATTTACAGGCACCAGGGGCCTATGCAGGCGCACAATGGTCCAGGGCGGCGAAAATGACATCGAACCGAAATATTGATCAACATAAGGTACCGAACTCGACTGAAACAAAAAGATTTATTACTAGGAGGTCCAAACCCAAGGTACAAATTTGCCATTCATTTACAGCTAAGCCTTGCCAAGTGGTCTCTGACTCGATAGCGACGGCGGATTCGCCATGTTTACACCCAACTTAACATGTTTTTTCTTTGAAGTTAAATGGGAGCTAGATGAAGAAGAAAAAACAGCAAGTGTGGTGTTGTGTATTTTATGCGCGCTGTTTGCAATAACTGCCATATCAGGAAATGGCATCGTATTGTTCATTATATGGAAAACACAAGAGCTTCATTCACCATCTTTCATTTTGTTGTTTTGCTTGGCCATGTCTGATCTTCTTGTGGGATTGGTTGGACAGCCATCCTTCGTTGCCTACAAGATAGCGGAGAGCCTCGAATCTTTCAGCGTGTATTGTAACCTGCGACTGATTCAGTTCTTTTGTGGGTGGATAAGTTCTAGCGTGTCCTTTATAACTGTTAGTGGCATCTCTGTCGACAGACTTCTCGCTTTACATCTTCACTTGCGATACAAAAGCATCATTACAGTCCGACGTGTGATAACCGCAATAATAATCGTTTGGCTGGTTTGCTCGGTGGCAACCACACTAAAGCTTTGGGTGCAAAACTGGATCATTATTGCGATTATTGGTAAATTATCGGCCATAACAACAACTGCCTTTTGCACAGGTAAAATTTTTCGTATCGCTCGAGGGCACGAACGTCAAATCACTGGACAAAATAATATAGTAACTAGTTGCTCAATCCGAACGAAGGATATTAACATTCGTGCATGTAAAAAGTCTGCCACGACAGTAATTTATGTCTTTAGCTGGATGTTGATGTTTTATCTTCCTTTCCTCGTCGTTATGGCTATGGAAATGATCAAAGGCGATGAAAAGGTAGTTAAAATCGCTTACGAGTGGGCCTCACTGCTTGTTTTTATAAACTCTTCAGTAAATCCCGTTATCTACTGTTGGAGAATGGAACAGATTCGACTTCGCATTAAGACCTTATTTAAAAGAAAAGCTTCATCCAATAAAATCCATTCCGTCAGTTGAGAAAGTCCTGATAAAACACATAGATCTTTTGTGAAGATCAACACTTTACGCCTTAATTACTCTTTACAGAGATGATGTGAACATATTCAAGTCTTGAAGTAATAGACTTAATAAATAAAGAACTGATAAAAAGAAAAAAATTAAAGGAAAGAAAAATAAATTATTATAGAAATAAATAAATTGATAAACACTGCTCTTTTTCTGGCCCTTATCAGTTCGCCTATATCACGTTTTGAAAAAGCTTCGTCTCTATCATATGTTCTTGGTCAAAACCTTTGTTAGGAACTCAGTTACAGCCGCTTTTTAGCGTTTCCAACGCAACTAGATTATCTCTGACGCGATCATTCAGGTTTTCTTTTTCAAAAAGGAAAAACCAGGGAAAAAGGTTGCTTAATTTATTATTTTCATAATAAAGAAAAGAAAAAAGAAAAGAAACAAGAGAGACGTAGTTGGGATTACGTAAATATATGTTATTTGCCGGCTGGGAGTTCTGTGACCGATCGAAAATACTGCCCGAGGCCGTAGGCCGAGCAAAGAAACAAGAGAGACGAAATTCTTTCCGAAAGTGATTTATGGCCGTAAATACGGCAAGATCTTCCATAAACTGAACAATTTTTGAGTGAGTAAATGGTAGTTGAAATAGAGGTGATGCAAATTTAAGAGAGATGCCTCAGCGAAACATTTTCATTTCCGTAACGATAAAGGTGATTTAAAAGGCTTCCAAACAAACTTTGAAACATTATTTTTACAAGTATCTGTCACAATCTGACACCTGTCAATTAGAGAGCGCGCAAGAAAAAAAAAGCGTTGGAACATTTGAAAACCAACAGAAATAGTTTGGCAAAGACTGTCACAACAATGTTTTCTCAAAATCAGTTAATGATCTAACGGAAAGTATTATTCACTCTCATCGACCATTCATTCATGTACGAAGATTTACCTCTGTTCATTAAGTAAACGGCGAGGAAAGTAATTGTGAGCAAATTCAATTTTTTATTTTGAAGTTGTGAGAGTTTGCTCGTTTGTTTGCTGTAATGGCGTGTTTAACTCTGGTCTTTGCTTCACAAAAACTAAATTCGAACGGCACACTCCAACGAGACACAAGGGAATTTAATGCGGCCTTTTCTCAAAAAATTCCTTCAATTTCTGTTGTGCAATTTACGGTACAAATGTCCAAATTGAACGGAATCTCTTCGCTGTATATTAGTTGTAGAACTTAAATTAAAACTTCGCTCGCTATTTCACTATGAACAAATTGCTCGAGAAAATTCAGATATTAAATGAATGAAAGTTCCATCGTTCAGTTTAACTGTAACCAAATACCTCACGTTTCAACTTTCTGGGTACTTTTTGTGAACGATTAAAATTAATTGCAGACGGTTTTTAGGCCGCTTGTCAACCAATATTGTTTATACAAATTCATTCTTAAACCAATATTTTTCTGTCAACCAAAGTGATTTGAGAGAGAGAAAAGAGAGGATTCAAAAGTTATTTATCGGCTTGAGGTAATGACCGACGTGTTTGCTTAAAAATACTGCCCAGCCGGAAAACGAGGTATATTTATGAAAAATGACAACGAAAGTTGGGATGTACTCGGCGACTCACGAACGCGAAAATACTGACCGGGTAAAGAACCAATCAGATTGCAAACGTTACCGTCGCCTTTTGTCTTTGAAGTTGACAAGTCTTGAATATTTCATTCAAAAATTGTAGTCCTTGTCAATGAAAAGCTTCAGGATCTCTCCACTTTAACTGGTTTTCATTTCATCTTCGACGCATCCTTCGCTGAAGGCCCGGACAGCCATGACAACTACACGTATGTATATCGGTGAATTCATAGAAAACGTCACCGATGCTGTCACACATACACAGGCGCGTATATTTGATTCCCGAGTCAAAAACGGTCGACTGATAATTAATGGGTAAGGAGTAGTTAATTGAATAACGAGATGGCAGAGTTAAAAGCAGAGTCGAAAGGCTGTAAATTATTTTCTTTCTGGGCAGCGTAACGCAGGAAATGTAAAGTTAACCGAAAAATTGTTTGCTTTCCACGGTATTGGCTGACATTCAGTCGTTCTCATTTCATACACGAAAATACATTGAAAAAAAGCTCAGTTGTTCTCTTTTTGATGAAGCGCTAGGTCTGTCCAATTTCAACTGCCAGAATTGTTTCCGTGCCGAAGAAAAGTTGACATTTTCAAGAAGTATTTGTTCCTTAGTGATGTTTTTACCATTTACAAAAACAAATATTTTGTCGTCACTTTCTGAGTTGTATAACTACTAATTGCAAGACGTGTGTATAAATTATGTATTTCTATCAGTATATAGCTTCATATTTTTCTTGTGAAGTCCCAGCTTGTATCAGTGTCACGTTCGCCCTCGTCATGAACAAAACGTATTCAAATTGTTTCTTTTTGGATATTAACTTGGAAAAAAGCAAAGAAACCATAACTGCAAGTATCCTCACTTGTATTTTTAACGCGGTGTTTTCATTAATCACATCTACAGGGAATTTTATCATTCTTCGTGTCATCTGGAAAACTCAGGAGCTTCATTCGCCGTCCTTTATGCTTTTGCTTTGTCTTTCTGCCTCCGATCTCCTGGTCGGACTGATTTGTCAGCCGTTTTATGTGGCTTATCAGATCGCAGAGCTTTCAGATAACTACGGGGCTTACTGCATCCTGAGAATGACTCAAAATATATCTAGCTGGACAACGGCTGGTGTATCTTTGCTGATTTTGAGCTGTGTCTCCGTTGATCGACTTCTTGCTTTGACTCTTCATCTAAGATACAGGACAATTGTGACTGTTCACCGTGTGCTTTTTGTCGCGTGTTTTCTCTGGACAGGTTGTATAACTGCGGTTTTGTTAAAGGTTTGGATAAGAAATTGGATCATCATTCCTTTAGTGGTGTTACTGATTTCATTTCTGGTTACAGCTGCAAGCACGTTCCAGATAGTACGAATTGTTCGCAAGCACCAGCGACAGATAAAACAGCAGCAACGAAACATCCAAATGAACACAGTGAATGCACTCAAATGTAGAAGATCTGCCGTGACTGCACTCTATATATATGGCTTGTTTCTGTTTTTCTATGTTCCATTTTGCTCGACCTTGTTCGCAGAGGCACTATTTGGGTACACCTTAAAGGTGAAGATTGCCTATGACTACACTACAACTGCTGTATTTGTTAACTCCAGTTTGAATCCGTTTCTTTACTGCTGGAGAATTAAGGAGATACGCCATGCTGTTAAAACTGCTCTCAAGGGAAACTCGGGAAAATATCAGGGGGAATTGCCGTCAAAGTAATTTTAATTTTTCTTATTTTTCTCCTTCTTTCTTTCTTTCTTTCTTTCTTTCTTTCTTCCTTTTTTTTCTGTAAGGAAGCAAAAGCCGTTTATAAAAGATCACATTGTTTCCTAACTTTTTCAAAAATAAACGTGCCGGTTGTCAGATATTTTGATTAGGCGCAAACTCACTTCCACTGACTTCGCTGATTATCAAGATTTGACTTTACCGAACAATAATCCACTTGCGCATGTCCGACATTTAATGCTGTTTTTGTTGCTGCGTCATTCCTAAGAGGGAACTCGTGTCATGGCCATCCTATGAGTTTCACCCACATAAGTAACTTTGACAGGAACATCTCACACGGAAAAAGTTATGTTCACGTTCGAAGTAACGCGCAGCAATCATCATGATTCTTAATAACGTGTCGCTGAGAAGCTGCACCAGCTATTGACGTATTTAATTAAGTAGAAACCGAGCGACAAAAATACAAAAAATTTGTCCCAAAGCTGGAAGCTATTATTGGGTAAAAACGAAGTTGTCATATTTAAAAATCAACAGTCATGGTGATGTGTTTGCCTTCATGACGTAAAGTTTGCTGAAGAAGACTGATGAAAACCCTTTCGACTATGGTCTCTAAACAAGACCAGCGAGGGTTCATATCGAATTACTATTCATCGCAATTTTGTATTTAAATTTAGAATACTACTAGTCATTCATAATTTTCACCTAACTCAATTGCCAAAGATAATAATCTCAACTATTATATAATTTGTCTCCTAGGGTCTGTTGTCACTAATAGAATAGGTTTTGTTTTCGTCGGTAGACATTCATAGCCATTTTCGTGATATGAATAATTTCATCCATTCTGAATAAGCATTAACATAACGTTCGCAAAGTTTTCCTGCTCTATGATTAAATTTTTTTAAGTGGGTGTTTTTGAAAGAGCGTTCCCTTCACTGTTAATAACAGCAATTGTTAGTTTCCGGCTCACAATGTCAAAAAGAAAGTGTCCATATCTCTTACCTCTTTGAGTTCTAAATAAATTGGGAATGAATTAATAATTTCATTAATGAGAAAGGTTAGTAAATTTTCTAATTGCACGTCCCTGAATTGTTCCAATTTGAACGGCGATGATTTTCAATTTTCAGTTCCCACCGTGTCATTTTGAATGTATTCTTATTAAGCAAACTAAACTGTCAAATGCATTTATTCAGGTGTCCTACTGTTGAATGAAGCGCGTACTTATGAATAATGAAAATTAGATTCGATGTGTTTGATGTTTCCGTTCAGCATGTTCCAAATCTCATCACTGAGTTCTATTTTTTATCTTCAACATGAACGGAACCAATCTACGATGTTCCATTTTGGACTTAAACTTGGAACAAACTAGAGATACCTTTATTACGAGTATTTTTACATGTATTTTTAATGCAGTGTTTTCCCTACTAACATCTACAGGAAATACAATCATTCTTAATGTCATTTGGAAGACTCCAGAACTTCATTCGCCGTCCTTTATGCTTTTGCTTTGTCTCACTGCCTCCGATCTATTGGTCGGACTGATTTGTCAGCCGTTGTTCGTGGCTTATCAGATCGCAGAACTTTTGCATAACTTCAGAGCTTATTGCATCCTGAGAATGACTCAAAACATATCTGGTTGGATAACAGTTGGGGTATCTTTGTTCACTTTGAGCGCTGTCTCCATTGATCGACTTCTTGCTTTGACCTTACATTTACGGTACAGTTCAATTGTGACCGGTTCTCGGGTACTGAAAGTCGCTATCTTTTTGTGGATTGGAAACGTAACTGTTGTCATCTTAAGATTTTGGATAAAAAAATGGATTTTTTTTCCCTTGGTCGCAATACTTCTTTCGTTTCTGGTTACAGCAGTAAGTTCCTTGAAAATTTTTTGGATCGTTCGCAAACACCAGCGTCAGATAAAACAGCAACAGGAGAGTGCCCAACTCTCCACGGTAAACATGCTCAAATGTAGAAAATCTGCTGTAACTGTAGTATGCGTTTATGGTTTATTCCTGCTTTTCTATTTTCCATTTTGTGTGACAATGTTCTTGGAGACACTTTTTGGATACACGTTAAAGGTAAAGATTGCTTATGACTACGCAACAACTATCGTGTTCGTGAACTCCTGTTTGAATCCACTGGTTTACTGTTGGAGAATTAAGGAGATACGCCATGCTGTTAGAAATACACTGAGAAGATCTATAGGAGAGCAATAAAACTAGTTATTACAGGATCATGAGGTTTTATCAACTGAGACGTCAGCTCTCGAATCTCTTTTCAGCGGCCAATTCAAGTTTTTATCGTTGTCGTTATTGGCAGGGATGATGGTTCTCATTAGGTCAGCCCCGACCATTTATACCACGTTTATTATAAAGTGCGACAAGTGTTATCGAAGAGTGTGACAAGTGTTATCAAAGAGTGTGACAAGTGTCATCACAAAGCGTGACAAGTGTTATCACAAAGTGCGACAATTTTATTACAACGGGAAAAGCAAGAGAATACTCAATACATTCACTTGGTGGAAAGGTGTTAGAAAATGCTACGATTATATCAAAGTACACCAGAACAGTCTCTCCATCGCGATGGAGTATTTATGTTCCAACAATAAGCCAAATGCACTGTGCAGAAATAAAGAAACAGAGTCAAATATTGACTCAGCGGAATACTTTAAATTCAATGCCTTTTCATCTTCTTGACCATAAAAGACTGAGGGCTCTTACATTCTAAAATTTTTGCAACGTTGCAAGTGAAACGTCACACAAAAGAGGAAATCCTAAACATGCGCAATACTTTCTTTAGCAACAGAATGTCTTCAGCAACAGAACAAATTTAGAACAGAATTCGAAAGCATGGTAGAAAACAAAAGTAAACAAATGTTTGTCGAACTTTTAAGCCTCCGCGGCCATGTGCATTAGTTTATAAATGAAGTTGAGTTGCCAGTAATCGGATCCTTGCGTTTGCGCACAGATTTCTGGGATCGCCATGGGGCAAACATTGTTACTCGCTGGAAAAAAACGTAATGGCGAAATGTTGTTTGGACGTCCAAAAAAGCGATTTTGCCGAGAGATTACGGATTTTTCGCTGCAGTTTTGTCATTAATGGATAAAGATAATGTTGATAAGAGGGAAGTGCAAGTTTTTGTTCGAATTACCACGAAATATGTTATGAAAAATACTGAAAAACTTCTTTCCTTGCGTAAGGTCTATTGTGAAATCGTCATCGCACAATGGTCTCGAAATATTACAAAATAGCCATAAATCGCCAGGAAATAACTCATTTAAGTCTTTTCAGTTGTATTTATATATGTACAACCTGTTTTCGCACTTTTTAACGTATTTAATAAACAAATTACGACGTTTGAAAATATAACTCCTCAAAGGAGAGAAGTCGTCGTCAGCGGAGATGGATATTATTTTTATCGAGCTGTTGCTCTTTGAAAGGATAAAATAAGCGATGAAAAATATGAGGACATCCCTAGGTCAAGCGATAGTTTGTGTGAAAAAAACCCGGAAGTCTTTGAGCTGCAACTTTTCTTCTCGAACTCCTTGAAGGATCTTGTCAGGAAAGAAAGATCACGGGAACTTAGGGAGAAACTGTGGACATATCATTAGTTGTGCATCGCTCATCGTCACAGAAGGAAAGGTTCAGTTTTGAGCCGACTATCAATGCTGATGTGTTCTCACTGATCACAAAAAGGAGCAGTGTAGGTGTTTTATCACTTTAATGTACCACAAAGTGCTCAAGCACCCATTTCAATCTCCTGCTGCCTCGAGGTAGCTTTTTTAGCGCTCTTTTGTAGTAAAAAGCTAGAAGAAGACTTAACACCCGTCCAAAAAACTGAAAAGGCTTTGTTGAGGTTTTCCTTGGCAATTTATGGTTAGCTTTTCTAAATTTCGAGACTATTACGCAATGTCAAATTCACAATAAACCTGGCTGATGGAGACAAGATAATCGGTAGATTTTACTACATATTTCATGGTTTTTCACACAAACTTACACTTCCCTTGTATCAGCATTACCCAAATTCATTTCTAATAAAAGAGCGGTGAAAAAGCGATAATCTCGCTAAACTCTCTTTTTTTGGACGTCGGAACAACCTTTTGCTATACATTTCCTTCTAGCGAGTTGCAATGTTTTCCCCGTGGGGATCCCAGATTCCTGTGCGCAAACACAAGGATCCGATTACTGGCAACTCATACATTGTGACTAAAATGTGACGCCTGAAAATGCGCATGGTCTTGAGCCTAGTCTGTGGTCCCTACTTTTCGAGGCCCCTTTACCCATTGAGCTCCCGGGGTGCATCGACGTCACTCCAAGAGCTCCCCACGGTGCGCTAACATTGATTTTTTTTTCATTTATTGTAATTTGTGATAATCGTCATTAGCTTAAATTAACATTTTGCCGGCACGTATCGGAGGACTAGGGGTTAGTGCGAGGTGCACGGAGAGTATTGGGATTGCAGTTTGTAATTTGAGGTCTTCATTAGAGCGAGGCATTCTACGGTCAGTCTCCACTGTGTTAAGTTGCTAGCTTTCGTTTAAATTTATTTAGTTATTTTATCTTTTTTCCTAAAATTCTGTCAGGTTCACATCAGATTTTACACAGAACTGTACTCACACACATCTTTAATTAACTGTTATCTAGTTGTGTATATCATGTTATTCATTGCATGCCATAAAACCCCGAGGGTGACACCACTGCCTTGGTTGGGGGTTTCCACCTGCTGGTTTTTTAGGGGTTTTCTTGTCCGGCTTTGGCGCATTCAGTTTCCTTCAATTGTAATTATAGTAAACCCTTGTAAACATATTTGTGTTAAATAAACGGTGCAGTGGCTTGGCTGGCCAACGCACCCAGATATCAACACTTTGTGTGCCCGGTTGAGTAGTGGAGGCAAATCTTTGTTTTTTTTTTTACTCGAGTGACGGACTTCGCCGAAAAGGAGGGACTGCTCGTTAGTCTAGTTCTTTTCAGTAGCTTATAATTGCTTTGTTGCTTTGTGAGGAGATTTAGGCTAAGGGAGGCATTTAAATCATAATCGGTAATTTTTTTAATGCGCGCTCTAATTTCTGCCTCTGTTTTACGTTCTTGTCCGTTCCATGCTCTTTGTCTGAGGTAATTAGGCTTAATGGCGGACCGAAGGCATTTTCGAGTGATCTATCTGTAGATCGTATGAGTTTTGTTGTGTTCAACTCTTCGTACGATTTGATTTGTACACCTGTCGGATTTCTTGTGTCGTACTTTGTAATACCTGTCCCACTTTATAACAACACTTGAAGCGTTTCGTAATAAACTCGATATAGAAATTCGGAAGACAAGTAAACTAAATGATAGCTGTCCTTCCTGTCAATAATGATGATAACAATAACAATATTGATAATAATAACAATAGATGTGTTGCCAATGATGGGAATTAAAATGATGATAATGATAGTTTAAGATCCACGTTTGTTCTTGAATACGTCTAGGAGTCACGTGACCAGACTCCAGCGGTCACGTTCGCCGTTTGCCGTCCACGTTTGAACTTCGGGCAAGGCAGTTTCAGTTAGTTGAACTCCCTTGACACTTTTTGTCTATCTGTTCAAAAGTTCTGGCGCATGTTCCATAAATTTATGTGAAGTGAAGTCTTTTGTTTATAACCATTCCTCTGGAACGCTATAGTAAACCAATTTTTCGGCCAGATTTTGTGTTTGAAAGAAAGGACCTCCATCCTTTGTGTAATTCAAGATGGCTGTGCTCATGTTGATTTTTTTTCAGGTGAAATCCGACGTCGATCTAAAAAGCTGAAAGTCTTGAAACTTCTAACCTCTAACCACAAACCGCTGACCGCAGTTTGACGTTTGCGGTGAACAGTCCAAATGTGGATCTAAAACTCTTTTATCAACTGCATATATACGAATTACTTAAAGTCTGTAATATAGTATCCATAATGACGAATATAGATGTCTTGAAGGTGGAAGTTGATTGGATACATATCTTGCAGTCCCGAGGTCGTCTACATGGATGGAGTTTATGACTGTAATTTACCCGGCAGATTATGACACTGGAAAACCGCAGCTGGTGTCTTTGTTGTGAGAAAAATTATTATTACGTGCCGCACTCACTAATATCACTATCCGTAGTCATCATTTTGCATCATCATTGTTGTCATCATCAATATCATGATTATTGACAGGAATGACAGCTATCATTGAGTCTAATTGTCCTCCGAATATCAATATCAAGTTGGTTATAAAGTGCGACAGAACTTATGCCTGCATGTAGGAGTAATTTGTTGTGGCTATGGCAAAGCCACGTAAGACGTCGAAATGAGTCAGTGAGGCGAAGTAACAATAGAATGCCGAACTTCACACGATTTTGACCCGATGTTAATAGTCGCTCGTTTCGTATTATCTTCGTACTTCGACATTCGCATTGGGCGCGTCATACACTAACTGGAGAAGAATGTCTTTTGAAGCAAATTATTATGTGTCTGACGAGACCCAAGATATAATTTTTCAGGTCTTGCCGTAGCACTTCAGAAGACGATACACATCTCACCCTTACTTCACGATGGCCTCTTGCCGGCGGGTGATTGGAAAAAAAACTTTTCCCTGTAGAAATATCTTAATTGCTAGGTGTGATCGGTGCATCATGAAAAATTAGAAGGAAACTTTTTTCTTTGAAGCGAGAACATTTGCCGTTTGAAGCAAGGAATTATGCTTAGCAGATCCGAGAATATTATTATTTCAGTTTTCGCCGTGAAAATATACAAAATGCGATAACTGATCTGGAAATAATTTCACGGTAGCGTTTCGCCAACGCGCAATTTAAACCAAACTATTCCTTACAAATATATCTCAAAAGGTGTCTGCAAATCATGGAAACTTTCAGGGAATTCCTTTTTTTGTAAACGTTCGAATAAGTTTTGTTTCTTGACGGATGAAACTTATGACCTTATAAATGCGGTTATTTAAATAATTTAAACTTCCCCAAATTGCATAAATTTTACGTCGTAAGCATTTCCTACTTCTAGTTAAGCCTGTGACCAAACGCTAGCCACCTTCATACAATCTCGAAAAAAAAATGCCTCTATTCAAAATGTTTCTCATGATTACTACAGAGGAGTTCTTTCGAACTTCTTGAGAGCAGTATATGCTTGTTAGGAATCTCAATCGATTTCATAATTGGACTGCCCAGCACAGTAGCGCCTTTTTATAAGTTCTTAGCCAACGAATTG